GAGAAGCCGAGGTAATCGCCAACGAGCTCGAGAAGGAGACCCAGGTAGTCGCCGACGAGCACGAGAAGGACCCAGGTAGTCGCCGACGAGCTCGAGAAGGAGACCCAGGTAGTCGCCGACGAGCCGAGAAGGAGACCCAGGTAGTCGCCGACGCGAGAGACCCAGGTAGTCGCCGACGAGCTCGAGAAGGAGACCCAGGTAGTCGCCGACGAGCCGAGAAGGAGACCCAGGTAGCCGACGAGCCGAGAAGGAGACCAGGTAGTCCGACGAGCTCGAGAAGGAGACCCAGGTAGTCGCCGACGAGCCCGAGAAGGTGACCCAGTCAGAAGGAGACCCAGGTAGTCGCCGACGAGAGAAGGAGACCCAGGTAGTCGCCGACGAGCTCGAGAAGGAGACCCAGGTAGTCGCCGACGAGCCGAGAAGGAGACCCAGGTAGTCGCTGACGAGCTCCAGAAGGAGACCCAGGTAGTCGCCGACGAGCACGAGAAGGAGACCCAGGTAGTCGACGGAGAAGGAGACCAGGTAGTCGCCGACGAGCCGAGAGGAGACCCAGGTAGTCGAAGGAGACCCAGGTAGTCGCCGACGAGCACCCAGGTAGTCGCCGACGAGCTCGAGAAGGAGACCCAGGTAATCGCCGACGAGCTTGAGAAGGAGAAAGTCGCGACGAGCCGAGAAGGAGACCCAGGTAGTCGCCCAGAGCGAGCCGAGAAGGAGACCAGGTAGTCGCCGACGAGCCGAGAAGGAGACCCAGGTAGTCCCGACGAGCTCGAGAAGGAGACCCAGGTAGTCGCCGACGAGCTCGAGAAGGAGACCCTCGCCGACGAGCCGAGAAGGAGACCCAGGTAGTCGCCGACGAGCCGAAGGAGACCCAGGTAATCGCCGACGAGCACGAGAAGGAGACCCAGGTAGTCGCCGACGAGCCCGAGAAAGAGACCCAGGTAGTCGCCGATGAGCTCGAGAAAGTCGTCGACGAGGAGGAGACCCAGGTAGTCGCCGACGAGCCGAGAAGGAGACCAGGTAGTCGCCGACGAGCCCGAGAAGGAGACCCAGGTAGTCGCCGACGAGCCCGAGAAGGAGACCCAGGTAGTCGCCGACGAGCCGAGAAGGAGACACAGGTAGTCGCCGACGAGCTCGAGAAGGAGACCCAGGTAGTCGGACGAGCCGAGAAGAGACCCAGGTAGTCGCCGACGAGCCCGAGAAGGAGACCCAGGTAGTCGCCGACGAACTCGAGAAGGAGACCCATGAAGTCGCCGACGAGCCCAGATCGAGGTAGTCGTCGACGAGCTAGAGGAGACCCAGTAGACGAGAACGACCCAAGTAGCCCCTAACGAGCACGAGAAGGAGACCCAGGTAGTCGCCGACGAGCTCGAGAAGGAGACCCAGGTAGTCGCCAACGAGCCCGATGAGGAGACCAGGTAGTCGCCGACGAGCTCGAGGAGACCCAGGTAGTCGCCGACGAGCTCGAGAAGGAGACCCAGGTAGTCGCCGACGACGAGAAGAGACCCGGTAGTCGCCGACGAACCGAGAAGGAGAAGTCGCCGACGAGCCCGAGAAGGAGACACAGGTAGTCGCCGATGAGCCCGATGAGAAGCCCAGGTAATCGCCGACGAGCCCGAGAAGGAGACCAGGTAGTACGAGAAGGAGACCCAGGTAGTCGCCGACGAGCCCGAGAAGGAGACCCAGGTAGTCGCCGACGAGCCAGAGAAGGAGACCCAGGTAGTCGCCGACGAGCCCGAGAAGGAGACCCAGGTAGTCGCCGACGAGCCTCGAGAAGGAGACCCAGGTAGTCGCCGACGAGCCCGAGAAGGAGACCCAGGTAGTCGCCGACGAGCCCGAGAAGGAGACCCAGGTAGTCGCCGACGAGCCCGAGAAGGAGACCCAGGTAGTCGCCGACGAGCTCGAGAAGGAGACCAGGTAGTCGCCGACGAGCCCGAGAAGGAGACCAGGTAGTCGCCGACGAGCTCGAGAAGGAGATCCAGGTAGTCGCCGACGAGCCCGGGAAGGAGACCCAGGTAGTCGCCGACGAGCCGAGAAGGAGACCCAGGTAGTCGCCGACGAGCTCGAGAAAGAGACCCAGGTAGTCGCCGACGAGCCCGAGAAGGAGAGACAGGTAGTCGCCGACGAGCCCGATAAGGAGACCCAGGTAGTCGCCGACGAGCCCGGGAAGGTGACCCAGGTAGTCGCCGACGAGCTCGAGAAGGAGACAGGTAGACCGACGAGGTAGATCCAGCCGCCGACGAGCTCGAGAAGGAGACCCAGGAAAGTCGCCGACGAGCCCCGGGAAGGAGACCCAGGTAATAGCCCGAGAAGGAGACCCAGGGAGTCGCCGACGAGCCCGAGAAGGAGACCCAGGGAGTCGCCGACGATCTCGAGAAGGAGACCCAGGAAGTCGCCGACGAGCCCGAGAAGGAGACCCAGGAAGTCGCCCTTGAGCCCGAAAAGGAGACCCAGGAGTCGCCCGAGCCCGAGAAGGAGACCCAGGGAGTCCCTGAGCCCGAGAAGGAGACCCAGGAGTCACCCGAGCCCGATAAGGAGACCCAGGTCACCCTTGAGCCCGAGAAGGAGACCCAGGAAGTCGCCCGAGCCCGAGAAGGAGACCCAGGAAGTCGCCCTTGAGCCCGAGAAGGAGACCCAGGAAGTCCCCGAGCCCGAGAAGGAAGACCCAGGGAGTCGCCCCCGAGAAGGAGACCCAGGGAGTCGCCCTTGAGCCCGAGAAGGAGACCCAGGAAGTCGCCCTTGAGCCCGAGAAGGAGACCCAGGAAGTCGCCCTTGAGCCCGAGAAGGAGACCCAGGGAGTCAGAGCCCGAGAAGAGACCCAGGAAGTCGCCCTTGAGCCCGAGAAGGAGACCCAGGAAGTCGCCGACGAGCCCGAGAAGGAGACCCAGAGAGTCGCCCTTGAGCACGAGAAGGAGACCCAGGTAGTCGCCGACGAGCCTGAGAAGGAGACCCAGGTAGTCGCTGACAGCCG